CGTTGTAATTATTTATGAGCCATTGGAGGAGCATTCAGAGTTTACATTTTACGGTTTTGTCCATGAGGTCGGCAAACTATGGATATGTGTATTTTGAGTCGTCATTGCTCTATTTTGCTAGAAATAACTTTTAATTTTCTAAAACAAACCTATCATAATTTTTTTGCCAGGCCACAATCATTGTATTGTCTAAATCTAACGTTCTAGAAATAGTTGCTGTTAGAAAATCAAATTAAAATAAGCGTTCAAGTCGATGCGTGGTCGTCGGAGCGAACGTAACACTTGGAGCTGCAATGTTTAGAATACAACCCAATAGTAATTGTTGTTGTTGTCTTCGCGGGATGCACTGAGAAGCCTCAAGAAGGGTTGGTCCACGGGATGGTAAAATGTCGCATGACAACAGCATGGCTTACTTGCTCACCATTTTAGCCCGTAGTAACCGAACTATTCTCAACTTGCATTCCGATCCATTTTTGCAGGCCTAATTACAGTCATACGCGATCCAATTGAGGGCCATGGTGCGCCCACTATTAGCTGGCGACATCTTATTCTTTTATGACTACCACAATGGTGGAACTGGAGTTGGGCTAAGAGAGGTTGGCTTCTAAAATTAAGGCAACAAAATTACTCTGAGTGATGTAATCAGTTATACCCTTTAGCTCCACTAATGGTGAATGTAAGTTCAGATGTATCTTTGTTACGTGTTCACATGATGGCCGCCTTTTAGAATAGCATTGACATGAGGCCGGTTTTAGAAAATTACCCAAAAAGAACAAAAAAACTGATCGTTACTTTCCAAAATGGGTTTTCGTGTATTGTCCTCAAGGTTTCTCGTGAGTTTTGTTGATTCACTCAGGTCCCCATTTAATGCCTTTCCTTTGAAACATAGCAAAGATCCGTGCGCTAAACCTTGCTGAAAGGCGGCAGATGAGATTGTTTGTTGTAAAGGAATTTATTTTCTATTAAACTCTGATGCGTTCTTTCCTGCTCTTCTCTACTTCAACCTTCTCTGACCGCATGTCAAGAAGGTTTCAGTTTTTCAATCCGATTTACTACTAATATTTTTTTCATTTTACTAAACTCGTAAACCTATTCGATTCCTTTGAGCCTATTTTTATCTCGT